GTCGTTTGCTGTGTGATCACAGTTGAACGAGTGACCTCATGTTCAACCCAGGTCCAAAGTGCTGATCTGAGTCTAATGTGCTGTTTGAACCTCAGTGGAGTGGAGTGGGAGCAGCACTCGCTGGTTAGTCACTAGTGTTTTTTTTAGATGTAAACATTTCATTCATCTTCCACTCCTGTGGTTTTTAAAGGGTCATGTGACGCAGCGGACGTCGGTCAAGGTTCAGTCTGGACTCCAGTCCATCACTGGAGGACTGGAAGGCAAAGGACCATTCACGACCAATACAACCTGATACGACCTAATACGACCTGATACGACCAATACGACCTGAAAAAGGAGTTGAAAGATTATTTCTCTAAAGAACAGCGACTTGTACCACAGCTCTACAACTGCATTAGCAGCACCATCTGCAGGGGAGTGGTGGGAACTACACGATCTGAACATACCATAATAAACAACTGAGCGCTGCCGTCCTGAGGGTGGGTTTAGAAATGAGAAAGTTTAAATGTATAAAGTTTTCTCAGGAGCTGGAGTTTTACTAACGACCCGTTCATATAACTGCTGCTGGTTTGGGTTTTTTTTTTTTTTTTTTTTTTTTTCGCCTGTTTATTAACAATGTGTTTTAATCTTAATCATTTTGCCTGTTTATTAACAATGTGTTTTAATCAGAGCAGGTGTCTGGATATGATTAGACTCCGGTGGGTTTGTTTTAATAGAACAATGCAGTGATTAACAACCGCAGCCGCGGGAATCAAGAAGAAGGTTTCAGCTAATGCATCATCTCTGACTTATCTTCTACTGAAGTTGTTTTTGTTTACGTGTGTGTGTGTATAAAAAAACAACTCCTGATCCTATGAAACTGCCGTTCACTGTGATGGTGAATTAATCATAATGTTGATGAAAAGTTAAAACTGCTTTGACCGACAGCTGTCGTCATCTGAGATCAAAGTCACGCTGTGTTTCTCGCTCCTTCCCTTCAGTGAGACAGTAGTTTGTGAAACAAACAAACGGAAAAAAAAAAACAACCCAGAGCCGTTTATTAAAGTGACAAATTGTGTTTGTTAATTCTCCTCCGAAACATTTGACTCGGCAAAATAAACCTGCCCTCTATTTACGGAGCACGATTCCTGTTTTTCTTTTTTTAATTTCCTCTTTGTGATTACCAGTTGACGGGGCCTTGTATTCTGGGTTTTGTCCGAGGTAACTTCAATTTGGATTTAGAGAATAAGAAAGGCTTGAGAGACTTTTAAATTAATGAGGAGAAGCTGTTTGGTCCTTCAGTCCCATTGGAATATTTTAATTTATATTTTTATATTTAATGTGTATGTTCTGCTACGAGGAGTTGATTCATTTTCTGCTTATTTCTTTTCTTTAATTGAACTTTCTCTTTTTTTTTTTTTTACCCTTCAACCCTTTCATTTTAACATTGACCAAAAAGTTTTTCGACCTCGTTCGTACCCTGCCCTGCGTTCTTAGGGTTGGACAGAAAAGTTGTTTCACTTGAAGTTGGAGAGTTTAAACCCTGGAAAGATGAGAATGTCCTAAAGTTCCCAATTTTATTTTTTAAATCCAACAGAATTTGTTTCTGATTCTGAAGCAGTGAGTGAACGCTCCTCAGAGAGAGAACTGAATAAAGTCCTGGTCTGAAGGCCACTGATCTGATGAGTCATTTTAGACTGGTGTCTGGGACACAGACAGGTCAGTGTTGGACAACAGTCTCACACAGATCAGGTACTACAGTACTACAGTACTACAGTACTACAGTACTACAGTACTACAAGGCAGGTTTTCTTTTCCCTTCCGTTCCACGTCTGACAGAATATCTATTATTCCAAATGAGTCAAATGTTTGGATGAGCGAACATCTGCAAACAGAGAGGAATTAGTCCTGGAAACAATTCAACACGTCGCTGCTAAGCTGCATGTAAATGAAATATTTGTATCACTCTGCCCATAATTCATGTTCAAGTCATTATGTGGAGTCGACTGTTGAACAGAGCGGATCTGAGGCACGGAGGAGTCGGCCCTGCGCCACTCGTCCTGTAATAAATTCAACAGTTCATCAGCAGTGATCAGAGAAAACCAGAGTTCAGACAAACATGTCCCTTTAATGTAAACAGACATCGGACACACACAGCTGTGGCTGTGATAATGTAACGGTGTACCAAAAGAAAACACTGAGAACAATTTCAAGGCCTGGAGAAGAACAAAGGTTTCAAATTTCAGTGAAAAAAGTTCCTAAATCTTTTTGACGTACGAGGTCAAAGGTCGTTGATAAAATCACCATGCGTCCCATGCATCGTTGGTGTTTTTTGGTGGAGCTGAGCTGGCGTTCAATTTCAATTCCCTCAAGTTAGTGAATATGGAGTAGCAGTACACGCTGACGGGTACAAGTTACTGCGACCACAGACTCTAATTAACAAGAACAGGAGTGAATGGAAGAGCCACCCTCTCTCTCTCTCTCTCTCGCTCTCTCTCTCTCTCAGTGATGGCAGCTGAGTCTGGGCCATTTCTTTAAGTGTCTCACTTGCTCTCAGACAGGAGATCTGTGTCACATCGCAGCCTTGTGGACTGATGTCGACGACGAGGAGACGATCCTGAGGTGGTTTTCCAGACTGAGCTTTTTTTTTTTGAATTGATCAGCAGAGCTCAGTCCACACAGCTGCACCCATTCACTCAGCGCTGACAGAAAGAGAAGGCAATAAGAAATAATGGCACACGATGCGTTTATGTGTTTTGATGGAAACTCGAGGGAAAGTCTTAGAAAGACGATGATGGACTCGTCTTCTGCTCAGCCGAGCTTTGACATTCTGTAGGGGACGCTGGAAATAGTCTCCAGGTTGATGGATAGGTGGACTGGGATTACCCGCCAGGCTCATCTCCGACTCATCGTCTGGCCCCCGACTCCTGGAAATAGACACAAAAACACAATTCATACCGTGTCAGCATGTTGGCTGTGAGCGAGAAGGTATTAGACTTTAGGAAGAAAAAAAAAAAAAAAAATCCACCAAACACTGAAACACAGAAAGCAAATCCAATAACTAAAGCAAACAAAAATAATCCCCCAGAAAAAAAAGAAGCAGTGATGTGTGTGCTGCTGATAACATTCACTCATCATTACTTTAACGGTCAGAGAAAAAAACCAGCCGCAATAATAAAAAAAAAGAAGAGGCAAAAAGCAAATAAAAATGATCAAATGAAGCATAATTAGAAAAACAATTCCATTAAAGGGAGGCTGTGTTTTCAAGGATGTAATAACCTTCAAGCTCCTCTCCTCTGAGTCATCCTGCTCACATGTAACCTATCTGAT